AGGTAAGGCCCGCGAGTTCATTAATATACCAGAAGAAACGATGGTTGATAATGAGTAATACACCAAATTCTCACAAGCACAACCGAAAATATAGCACCCTTCTATTTCACCAAGTGAACGTGGGAAAGGGCGGACCTAATATGGACATAGCGCTGCAACAGGCGTGGGACGCAGGAGCGCACGTTGTCATGGTACAAGAACCATGGACATTGCAAGAAGATGGGGAGTATAAAACGAAAAATCATCCTGGCTTTCACAGTCACAAGCCCATCGGAGATACAGGCGGTCGCCCAAGAGCAATCACCTTTACCCGGAAAGGTCTCGAAGCCTCACAAATACATACGGCTCCCACAAGACAAACTTTGGACTACTGCTTCGTTCAAGTATCTGGCCTGACTTTTGTAAACGTATACCGTGCACCTGGGCCAAGCGGTACCTTAGAACCCTTACTCCAATGGACGCCCCAAGGCCCCACAGTAGTCGGGGGAGACTTCAATGCGGTCTCGAAACACTGGCAACCCCAGGCACCAAGGCAATATGGCAGCGGCGACCAGATCATGGACTGGGCACTAGCGCGGGACATGCAGTTAGTAACCTCAGCCGGCGTACCCACGCATCGAGATGGAAACGTCCTAGACTTAGTGTGGAGTAACACCTTCGCTGAGGCGTCGGTATCAAATAAATACAACTGTACATCGGATCATATGACTATCGTAGGATCTGTTCAGGTGACAAAAATGGCAGACCTCAACGCTGTCTCACAGGATCTGCGAGTCCGTGACCAAGACCTTGGTAAATTCGCCCAGTATGTCAAAGCCTGGGCCAAGCCTGGCCCCATACGCAACGAGTTGGAAATTGAAAGCCAAGTAGCGAACCTGCTGGAGGCTCTGGGGGATGCCCGCAAGGCAGTGGGACGGAAACCAGTGAGAATAGCCGGGAAATCAGCGCCATGGTGGAATGAGGAGTGCAAGAAAAAGCACCTCGAGTTCATGGAATCCAGAGACGACTCAGAAAAAGCAGCCCTGGCCCGGAAAAGGTTTAGAGCTACAGTCAAAGTGGCAAAAAGGGAACACTGGAGAAAACAGATCGAGAATGCCATCACGGACACCCAGGTATTCAAGATAATGCAATGGGCTAAACCCAAGCCATGTCGAGAACCTCCTCCTCTGAAGGTCGCGGAGGACAAATGGTTATCAGACCCACTCGAGAGGGCAGAAACCCTGAGGGACATCTTGATGACTAGATTCAACGCAGCCCACGATCTCTTTACATGGGAGACGGGACAACCAGAGACTATTCCGTGGAACCCAATATTGTCGACAGAGGATGTAAAATCGAGCACCATTGGAACAGGCGACAAGTCTCCAGGAGCGGACAGAATCACGGTTCGGCTGCTCAAGGCGTGCTGGGAGCAAATTGGTGAACAAGTGAAGAACCTCTTTCAAGCTTGTTTACAGCTTGGACATTTCTCCACTATGTTTCGAGTTGCAGAGGTCATCCTCCTCCCTAAGCCAGGACGGGACCTCGCAACAGCTAAAGGGTGGCGACCAATCTCTCTTCTATCCTGTCTTGGGAAAGGTTTGGAACGACTTGTAGCCAAGAGAATGGCCTGGCTAGCAATCGAGCACCGAGTCGTTCCTCAACAGCTGTTTGGTGCACTGCCTGGTCGCTCAGCAGTTGACTTGGTCTCCTGCGTCATACACAATGTAGAGGCGGCAATGCGATACAAGAAGGTAACGGCCATGGTTACCCTGGACGTACAAGGAGCGTTCGACGCGGTCCTGCACAAACGGCTGATCCATCGATTGCGGAATCAGGGATGGCCAAGGATACTTTGCCTGTGGATAGAATCATTTCTAACCCAACGAAGGATAAGGGTGCGACACCGTGATGGAACCACGCGGGACAAAGTTGCAGAGTGCGGAGTCCCACAAGGGTCGCCGCTATCACCCCTTCTGTTTTTATTATACATCGAAATCTTGATGCGAGACGGAAACAAGAGCACAAAATTCGGGTACGCTGACGACATCGCTATACTCAGCATAGGGAGCACCGCGTCTGAAGCAGTGGCCGAAGCCCAGAAAGAAGTCGACAAACTCGTCCAATTAGCGAGCGAAAACCAGATAGACTTTGACCCGGCAAAGTCTGAACTACTGTTAATTGGAGGTGGGCCAAGGAAAAAGCTGAACACCGCAGGTCTAGCTGTCCAGATCCAAGGCCACTGCATAGCCCCGTCCCCGTACGTGAGATGGCTGGGAGTATGGCTAGATTCTCAACTCAACTTCAAGCAACACGTTCAGGAATGGTGCGGGAAGGCGCAACGTATAACACAGTCTATACGACGGATAAATTCGGTCTAGCATGGCGCAGCTCCGGGACCGATGATTAAAGCAGTGCAGTCCTGTGTCCTAAGTACGGCACTATATGGAGCCGAAGCGTGGTGGCCAGGTCTCACCCGAATCACAACCCAGCGGGACAAAATGGTTGGCACAGGAGTAGGCTGGCACACTGATCTCCTCGACAGCACTATCTTGAAGGCAGTTCGAGCTGCGCTACCGGTGTGGCGAATTACACCAAAAACGGCGCTACACAGAGAGTCGGGTATTCCCCCATCTGCTATTATCTTACAGCAGAGAAAAATTCTAGCTGCCGCACGGATTCAAAGGCTGGACGCGTGGCATCCTTTAGCATTCAGGTCTACAGAGGAGCCAAAAGATACAGTAAGCCGCCTAGGTCTCCGCATAGGTCAGAGGAACCGGCCATTCAAGTGCCCAGAAAGGTACCTCACGCGACTTCAGATCAGCGCCAAAAATATGCCGATGGCCGAGGGCCCCGGCAAACTGTATTTCCCAAAAGCTGAGCTCATCAGACAGCTCACTGGCGGTGACAAGCAGCAAGAAGCAGCTCACGCTAAGCAATGGATAGCAAGCCTGTCGGATGAGACAGTTTGCGCTTACTCAGACGGCTCATCATGTGGACCTGCTAGATCGGCGTGGGGATACATCTTATACAAAGGAGGCCAGATGATTGGGAGTGATGCCGGTCCTCTGCCAGGGGCGGAGGTGTACGATACCGAAATCTTTGGCGCCCAAAAAGCCCTCGAAGGAGCGATAGGAAAAGCGGGCAGCTCTCCGATAAAAGTGCTCCTCGATAACTCCATAGCCGCAAGAGCTCTTCAAACCGGTCGAACGAAATCTTCTCAGGCGGTGGTAGATATATTCACAAGACTGGTACGACGAGCCAGATCAGTTGAAATCAGGTGGATACCAGCCCACTCAGGGATCACTGGAAACGAGGAGGCAGACAGACTGGCGAAGGAAGCCCTCAGGAAACTCCCGGCTGAAACGACTACAGATCCCTCAACAATTAAGGACGGACTTAAATACACCTTCGCAGCCCTCAACCGGTTTGTCAGGCAAAGGTGTGAAGAAGCGGTGGAATCCTGGTGGCTAAAACATAGACCTAGCCGCTATGAGGAGTTGGATCTCCGAATGAAACGAAAACGTCCACCAGAGCTAGCACTTCCGAGGTGGGCGCATCACCACTTGGTCGCAGCGAGGACGGGACATGGTGATTTTAGGAACTACCATGAAAGGTTTGGCCACGAATGGGAAAACTGCAAATGCGTTTGCGGAAGAGAGAAACGTCCCTGGCATTTTTCCGAATGTCGGATTGCTCTACGGCACTGGAGAGAAGAGAAGCATGAACCACCACCGAGTGGACGGGAGATGCTGGCAGAAAAGGGAGGGGGTAAATTTCTCCAGTTCTTAACAGTAACTAAGTGTTACGAGATGCAGAGCGCAAACCGGGAGAATTAAGTCCTACCGGAGGAAATTTTCCACAGGACTAAGGGCCACGAGGAAGGAGAAAAGGCGCAGGGCGTTTTTTTTCGAAATTTAATTAATTATCTATGTTTTCTACAAATAGTTTCTGAGAAGCAAACTATGTACCTAGGTTGTAGTGTGGCCCCAGGGAGCACAGACCCGTATCACGCCTATTGGGTGTAGGGCATAAGCCTGATACGTAATGTATACAATTCAATTCAATTCGCAGTGGTACTTGCAAATGAAATCTGAGGCATGAGTGCTCCTATTGTAAATTGAGTCATCTTTTCTGTACGTTTCTCTGATATGTGTCATAGCTAGATAATTGAATACGCAATTAAAATCTGACGCAGAAAAAAATAGTATCCCTCCTGTAATAGAGGGGCTTGACTCATATTGCTGAGTCATATTTTTTTATATGCAAGACACTTTCACAGCACCAGTGGTCATGACGTTTGCCTAAAGGCCAAGGTTATTGAGTGCTGTTAAAATTGGTGCCATTTGGCATTAACTACCGTCATTGTTGGAATATATGCCTTTTACTAGGCGCTTGGCGCGGTGCATCTCTCTGTTGCTGAGTCTTTGTCTTGATGACTCAGCCAACACCGCGAACTGTACGTTCGCAGTGTTCATAGATAGAAACAATAATAACAAGAATCCATATGTCAACTTTCGTGCCTTTCGTTTTGCATTGAACTAACCTTACGTATACGTAAAATAAGGCCACTCGACAATCATTAATATGAAATTTAATGAGGCTTGTCTCTTCACTAGTCAGGCTCAAGGTTTGTCTAACACTGGAAAATTTCTCATTCAGAATAAGCATTGTGCTGTGGTCCAGCTAAGTTTTAAAAATTGGTTTGTAACCTACTCTGATACCAAGGTGTTTAATTGATAATTCTCCCCTATCCCTCTCATATTCTTCAATTTCCCAATTCACATGACTAGGAGGGATTGATCAGTAGCCTAATCGTTTAAGCGTTCATCCCAAGTTCAGCCTGGAGCGAAGGTTAGTAATGTTACGGCATTTAATTGGTTTTGTCGCCGTGATATGGTGTAGTGTTCACGAAGACTAGTCACACTGGTACGTGAAGAGCTATGCGTTGGCACGAGTCAAATTATTTTCAACAATTAAAATGAGCCCGTTTGGCTCTGTTCACTGATTAAGATTGTCAGTCATGCCAATATTATGAATAAGGAGGTAATTACAAATTCCAGCTGACATGGGTGATAACTATATCGGCCATTATCAAGTGGCACTCTAAAGACTACGCCCGTCACGTGCGCGTCTCTTGTGAATACGACAAAATCGACATGGTTGTCTGGTATTGAATTTAGCTGTCATAAACTCGAAAGGTATGCAATTTCCAGGGATTCATCCATTACCGTCAATAGGATAGAGCCATTTATCTCCGTTGATATTGTAATTAAATTCATCAAAATATGCGGGGTATCCATTAAAAAACCTATTATCATCTAAACCTCGTTTGCCTATCCGGGCTTTGTTCTCGAGAGTACTCTTGTTGTGCCTCCGACGATTTTGGCATAAGTAGCTGAATGGTTGAGTATGGTGGGGCACTGGAAGGAACTGCGCATCTGATACGATCGCCATCGAATTTACAGGCGCTAAAATGCTGAAAAGCATTGTGACTCCGCTGATGCTGAGGAGCTTCATTATCAGGTAGTGAATCTGTGTATTTATTTGGAATTTCACTTCTTCAAATACTGTCGTGACAAGACTGGTAGAAATAAAGGTAAGATTCAAAATTGATCTATCAAGAAACTAAAAATACGGATACTCTTCATGCTTTATAAATGAAGGTGCTGCTTGGCAATATCAATCATGAAAGTTTGAGTTGTGGCGATTATGAGGCATTAGTTGTGTTAATTTAACCATGGACATTGGGGATTACTTCATCTATCCAAGAACTTAAATTGCAAATTTCCACTTATCTTCTACAGCCAGGTCTCCACGTGGAAAAGTGCTTCAATACTGTGCATTGTGATTTGAGAGAATAAGATTGGTTTGCGTAATATGGTCCGAGAAAAGACAAAGACGATTCATGACCAGGCCGCCGTGTAGCCCATTGACCACTAATCCATTGGCACGATTTAATGAGGCTAAGTGGTGATCATGATTCTGAAATTCATAAGGAGGGCCCGTTTCCAATGGGAAAGATGGCTGAAATGTCCAAAGAAAGAATGGGTTGTGGATAATAGCTGCCCATGACCTAGTCAATCCACTTTGTGACTTTTGAAGGAGAAACCTCGACAGCCGCGATGTCCACAATTGTTTGAATCCTCTTGGCCTGAGCAGGAATCGACCGTGTAAGCTTGAAGAGTTCGCATACAAAAATTGCCAGCTTACAAAATCAATTACTTCTTTCTACTGACTCGCCATAGAACCTACCTCTTAATACTGAATCCAACATCTTGGCATCTCACCGCAACAAGAGCTTCCTTGCGATAAAATGAAATAAGGACTAGTCATAGGATTTATGGTTGGATTAGATCCATCAAGAAGTTACTAGATGAGGTACTTTTCCCAAACATTGGTATCAGATACGCAGAGAAAAGCGTGCCATTGTCCCAGGTAAAGACTTGAAATAAAATGACTGGAAATTCTCGTGCTGAAAGAAACCAAGAGATTCATCGAGACCAATCTCCGCCTGTGATTAGCTCTCTAGCCTGTCCAAACGATGCCCATCATCACACCAAAGCCTAATAACTTGCACGGTTTCCAGTAGTGTTTACAATTAGGGTGATTCAAGTTGCATTTCGTAAATTTCACGCCTTCGAGTGTCAGAATTATCGCAGAATGTAGTAGGCGCTATTTCCTCGGAAACCGATAAGTTGACTTAAATGTCGCACTCTGTTACGGCGTGCGCTAAGGATACTGGAGATCGCCGTCTGTCGAGGGTAGGGTATTAATACTGTGAGGATTATAGTTGCTAACGAAGGATACTTAGATATAATTCGATTGGAGAGGTGCCAGATAGTCAAAGGTCGGAGAACTACAAGATAGTCGAGAGACACGAAGTCAGGAAGTCGAGTTGCCGAGCAAACGATCAAGGCTGATAAATTAGGTTGAACAAATGTACGAATAATGTAACGAATAATGAAAGACTGAGAATATTGGATTCTGAGAATACAAGATTATAATATTATATAAATACTAGATTGCGAGATCAAAGATCAAAAGAATGAAAGATTGGGAAGCTGGAGAGCTTGTATGTGGCAGCTCCAGCTTCCTTAAGTTTAACTCGAGACAGTACTTGAACTCAACTAAGACTATGACAAATGCAGCCGGCAAAGACGAATTCTTCACCTTCCAGTGGTGCCGGTGTAATCGCTCAGTATGCTCTTCATATCTGGGATAGCCAAGAAGAATCGCATCCAAATCGAAGTCGAAAGCAAACACATGCATATCTCCATTTGACGACTTCTCAATCATGCAGCACTCACCATTATCTTCTGAGTCCTCAACCCCAATCTAACCACATATCATCTCGCCTCGCTGACCGATAAAGGCGTTACCCCAATTGCAAACAGGAGCTTGCCTCATTTATCACCGGCCATCACTCACTACAAATTGACGACGCTACGTATACCTGCAAGGAGGAAATTAAGTTATAATATACAAAGTTGGGGTCTTGGTTTACGGGGGACTGCTGCTCTAATGGGGCTTCACATCTTGAGGAAGGACAGGCGGCTGAGATGTGAAGCGAGAGGGGAAAGAGGTCTCTGAAGACCGTGTTGGGACTGACATTTTCGAGGAGTTTTCAACTTTGGATTTTTTGTGGGCGCCAAGACTAAGATTTCGGCTAATTAGCCAGGAGGACTTCTTTTGTCGATGAGTCAACGGCACTCCCCAGCGCCCTGGACGGCACGAAAGAAGCTAGGCTAAGCTACCATACAGCAATCACGCTCTGTCAAGACTTTTCTGACGTTTCAGCACGACCTTCGGGAAGGAGTTGTAAGGAGGCTAGAAAGGCAGAGTGTGAATTTCCCGAGGCACCCACATGTTTGCAGCGCCCAGCTGGCCGGCCTCTTCGAACGCATCAGAAGGATCACTATGTCTTCGGATTTAGTCCTAATGTCGGTATTAGGAGAGCTCCGCACCCCGTGGTTTTTTGCGATTTTCCCCGGCTGCCATACACCCGCAAATGGCCATCGTTTCGTTGGCTGGAGAGGGGAGGTAATGAAGGGTTAAGGGCTCCTCTAAGTGTATGATCGAATGAGGACTTGTGAGGGTTGGTACTGTTTGAGGGGAGCTGTATGGAAGGCATAGGAGGAGATATACTACTGGTATAGGTATCCTTGGCCTGTAGGCAGAGAGGACCTGCATGTCCTACATAGTCATAGACTCAGACAGGACAATAAAATGAATTAATAATAATATGACAAATGCAGTCATGACGCTAGCCCCTCCATGTCTAACTGTCCGAGTTTTCCCGGAAATCTTCTCCTATCACCTTTTCCTGAGAACCTTCTCCTTAAAACCTATTCAAGGATGCCTGGCCATAACCCACTCACTGTCACGGTGGGTTACGGGTCAGGTTCTGGTGGTTTAATAATATAACTACATTGTGCTATAGTGGCTAGGGGTAACATTTCACCTACTCATGTAAACAAAGTTAGATAGGTCACATGACTTTCATAGCAGTACATAGATCTCATCTGTAGCTATTGTTGAAATATGATATATCTTGAAATGCCAAGAATAACTTAATTGTAATTCCGGCTAATTTGACTATCAAATTCCCCATTCTATATCACTGTTATCAATACATCCTTCACCGAAAGTTCAACGCGCATTAGCATTCATTTCACACTAGCATTCCAGCAGAAGACTATGTCTCAAATACAGGTTACAGTTTTCTCGTATCATTACCAACACACATGTATTTAGCTTAATATTCCTGGTGTAGGTTTATCTAACATGTAAAAGTAGATGTGTCATCATGTGGGGATCATAAGATGACCTCAGCAAAGATGCGCTAGTCAGGATCCACAGTATAGCTGTGAATCCTGTATAGCGTAGAAGAGAAGACAATTATGAATGTTTAGACCAACACAGAATTGTACAATTCGAGAATCCCAAGTTGCCCATTCCCTCCCTATAATCCATCTCACCCATTATTTATCGAATCGAATCGTAATTGTTTGCCATTGGCGGCATTTCAAAATTCCTCCGACGCGTCGAACGCACCAAAACGCGATCAGCGGAATCACCAAAGATCGCGTCATCATACCCTACAAATTACATGAATCTATACTAACTCTTGCAAGACAAAAACTTACGGAGAAAGGATTAGAGGCCTCCGAGAAAAATTTAGACTTCATCGAGGCTGTGCTCGAAGCTAACGTTCGCAATATGCCCGAGGTATAGATGTTGGACGTCGAAGTCCAGAAGTTGAAATCTCTATTAGATTGAACATGGGCTTCCTCCAGCCCAGAAGACGCGGAAAAAGCCCCAGGGCCCGCAAGAACCCCAAGAGAAACCGTCGCAGCATCCGAAAAGCGCGCTACGGTTCCAGCACTACCGCAACTTAAAGAAGTAAGGCCCGCAAAAAGGGCCGACGTACCCTCAACCAAGGCAGCAGGAGCCAAAAACTCTTTGCTGGCCCCACCGCCTACAGCAACAGAAACAGCAGGCAAGGAAAAAATAAACCCTCTAGAATTGCTTGCAGCGATGGAAGCGGAGGAACGCAGGGCAAGACAAAAAGCCGCGCAATTTAACATCTGCTCGACGGCTATTAGCAGTGTCGAGGCAGCTCTTCTACCGCTCTCCACTGGTGAAGATAATATCTTTGTAGACTCCATCAAAGTCTACTTGCGAGCAGCAATCGCACAATTCGTGGCGGCCGGTCCAAGCACTGCTCCGCCAGTACTACCCCAAAGACCAAATGTCGTGACTCCCCCTGCAACCGTCATCCTTGTATCCATTCCTCGGAATATTACAAAGGCTACTGCAGCCCCCCCGCTCAGAAGCACCTGGGCCGCTGTCACCAGAGCAGGACACCAAAAGTCAGGAGCACAAGCTCCTGCAAACATCACCTCGGTATCGGCTGTCCCATCTGCCAGGAAACCGGAGAAGAAGCCAGCAGCAGCAATAACAGCATCGAAAGATGACCGACTTTTCCTACATCTGGATGCAAACCACGAGTGGAGACAGCTCTCTCCGGCTGGCGTTCGCGAAGCCGTGGCTAAACAAACGCAATGCACCCCTTCCGATGTCGACCAGGTGCAACGCGTTCCCACTGGCTTTGCCATCAGTGCCAAAAACCCGGATGCAAAATCACGACTGCTTGAGGCCTCCAGCATCTTCACACAAGTGAAGGCAAAAATAGAACCACCAATTGATCTAGTTTCCCTCCGGATTGCAAAGGTTCCAGTTGCAGTTTTCGACTTATGAGGACAAATCGAAGTCACTGCCAAAATGGTGGTCGCCGAGATCCTCAAAATAACCAACTGCACTCCAGACCGAGTGAGGATACACGGAAATACTAAGCTCGGCGCTCCCTACAGATCCTGAGCGGCCTTATTCCCAAGGAATACTAGCCCAAAGCCTGCATTCCGAATATTTGACGACTCAGGAATAGCAACAATCCAACGAAACCGCCCTGCTATACAGCAATGTAGGCAATGTCTCGGTTTCCACGCCACCCGTGGGTGTTCTCGCGCGCCAGCGTGCTGGAACTGCGGATCCACCATGCACTCGGCATTCGAGTGTAAAGCGGCCTCTAAATGTTGAAACTGCGGAGGCCC